AAGATGTTCAAGAAAAGATAATGGACAGTGGAAATGGTCAGGCAAAAATGGCGAAGATAGAGAATAAAACGGAAAGAGAATAAGAAAGATAGAGAAGCCAATTGCAGAGAGGAGGAAGAAAGAAGGAAAAAAATAAAAGACAGTAGAGATGGTCAGAAAAAGAAGGAAAATAGACAGGAAAAAGAGGGACATTAAAGAAAGAGAATGAGAAAGAGAGGAGGAAGAAAGAAGGAAAAGGTAAAAGACAGTTGATATATATATATATATATATATATATATATATATATATATATAAAATATATATATATATATATATATATATATATATATATATATATATATGTATGTACTAGCAGCATGGCCCGGCATTGCCCATGCTTGATTCAAAAATCATACAACTTATACAGCAATCACTATCACTTGACTTAAAATAGTTTTGCCCTTCCTTGCCTTTAAATGGAGTGCCCTATGCCATGCTGATGTTGCTACATGCCTTACTTCTTGCCTATCTCTCACTGCGAATTTTTTCTAAGCTCTACACTAAACATTAAATCTGTTACGATAAAAGAACTAAACAAAATGAACACAAAATGATCAGCTTTAAAAAAGGACTCGTAACTGGAAAAAACGAATGAAAAAAGAATGTTAACAACAAATACTTTTTCACACCCAACCCAGTTCTGCGGAATCAGAATCAACGTTGAATTTAAGCAAGCGAATGAGCCAATTGGAGTAAAGTGCTATGCAAATTTAAATTTTTCCCACTTGTGACGAATGCAGCTATCGATTTTTTTGCATGTTAGCATGCTAGTTAACATTCATGCCAGTCAGCTGTTTGCTCCCACGCTGGCCAATAGAATCTTCCTGCCTATTCATGGCAGCCAGCTATTGGCTCTCACTCTGGCCAGTAGAAAATGGCCACAAACTATATGAAAACTGCTATAGAAGCATGAAAAAATCGATTTCCACTATCAATGGGAGTTAGCAAATGCAAAGTCAATCTTGGCCTTCCCGCTAACTTGGAGCATGTGCATGTAAATTTTGGTGCAAATCCGTCGAAAATTGTGGCCGTGCATTCGTTACACACACACACACACACACACACACATTCCGCCTTTTATAGACAGAGATGTAAAAACAGAAATTGTTAGAAAGATTCAAAAACTTCCTGTATAGACTAAAATTAGAATTGGAAAAAAGGCACCTAATATTTAATATAGCAATATTTATTCATAATATGTGAATTTTTACAGAGAAAAATTAAAACTTTCAATTGGATTTCCTGTGTTTTTTCCTTAGAAAAATAATTTCTTGTTTTCCTTTTTTTACTTTAACCAGTTTTACTTAGCTTTCCAAAAAGTTTTTTAACTGTTTCTATCTCCACGTGTTGATGCTTATGTTTTGAACAAATGAAAAAAAAAATGAAAATCAAAGGTTGTAACTGGCTATATATGTCGTTTATGGTAAGGAGAATTTATGCAATGAATTAAGTACTGGTTTGAACTTGTATATAAACTTGAATATATATATATATATATATATATATAAATATATATATATATATATATATATATATATATATATATATATATATATATATATATATATATATATATATATATATATTTATGCAATTATGCTAAGGTGGCCTTAGTTACCATTTCAGAGAGAGAGTGCATCATCTGGCATGATGAAAAATTTGAACAATGCCATCATGCTCAGTACCCTCAGTCACAATGACTCCTGACTTTATGTTAGCATAACCATCCACATGCAATTCTGTCACCCCAGTTTCATGCACAATGTCAACCTTTGGTAAAGTTTTCAGGCACTTTCCAAAGATACTGCCCACTGGGGTCTTCTCTGCATACAAATCTCATAGATTCTCTTTCTCTTTCTCTTTCACTCTCCCTCTATGTTTTGTTCACTTTCTTTTGTTATTTCTCTTTCTCTTGGTACCTCTCTCTGCCTTTCTCTCTGTGTCTCTCACACTCTAGTTCTCTCTCTGGAGTTAAAGTTTCTGGGGAACTGAAAAAAAGAATTTCCACTTGGGATCTGTGGGGGTCAAATCTTCCAAATGTTGCAGCACGTGTGATCCCTAATATATTGGTGGAGGATAACTTTAGCTGATATAACAAGGAAGCCTTACTCAACAAAATTTTCTCAAAAACATTCATATGAATATTTCTGTATATTCAAAATCAAGATATAAGTACTATTTTCACAGAAATAGAAGGGGTGGGGGGTAAGACAAGGATGTGTCTTCTCACCAGACATATTCAACATTTACAGTGTGGTGATTCTTAGAGAATTGGAAATCCTACCAGGAATTATTATTATTGGCCATATTCTTAAGATATGCAGGTAGAATAGTGTTGATAGCAGATATGGGAAGGAAACTACAAGAACTCCTACAGAAGGTAATGAAGAAAAGTAAGAGCAAAGGGTTAAACACAAACTGCAAGAACAGAATATATGGTTGTTAGCAAAAGGGAACAGCCTAAAAAGAAAATTACAAATCGGGGATACCAAAATCAAAGAAGTCCAACAATTTAAATTCCTAGGAAGGGTTTTAGCAGAGAATGGAAAGTACAATACTGAAATCTGAAACCCTATTTACATTATTTGGACTATTGTCCTCATCTTTGTCACCATATTTATTATGTTTTGTATGCTCCAACCACCTGAAGAAGGCTGGAGCATACAACGGCCAAAACGTTGTAATAAATATGGCGACAAAGATGATAACAATAGTCTGAATAATGTAAATAGGGTACATAATATCTCGTCTCAGAAATATAGGCAGATACTGAAATCTGAAGGTGCATTGGAAAAGCTAAAGAGAGCCAAAGACACCTTCCAAAAGCTAAGCAGAGTATTAAGACACAGAAAAATATCATTAGAAACAAAGAAATAGAGTACTGAACTGCTACGTGATATCTGTCCTCCTATATGCGAGTGAATGCAGGACAATCTTCTCAAAGTTGAAGAAGAGACTTGAAGCAACAGAAATGAGGTCCTACAGAAACATGCTGAGGATACCATGGACTGAATGTGAGCAACAATGAAATTTAAGAGAAATGGAAACAAAAAGGAAACTTATACTTAACATCAGCAAGAGATATTTGAAATTTCTGGGGAACATAATGAGGAAATTGGGCTCGGAAAATCTGATACTCACAGGGCAGATTGAAGGCAAGAGGGACAGAGGAAAACTTAAACTTAACTTAATTAGTGAGCTTGTGTAAATGGATGGCAGAACAAGGTTTAGGAGAAGTAACAAAAAGACAAAATTTATTAAGAGCTATGAAGAACAAGAGTTCTCTTCCTATGATGCATTGTAAAGTGATTTATCATCTAAGTTGGAACATACCTGCAATTTTCTGTGAATAAGCACTTATGTCATTCACCTATACTAATACAATAGTAAACTAATAATTTAGGACATAACATATTTCTATGACATCTAATTATGACTAAAAAAACACATGGAGGATATAAATATAATTCATGTAATGAAATAAAAATTGTTTTAAATTACTTGTATATCTATTGTCAGTGATGTCATTGACACTTAGTAGATAAGATAACAAAGCATAAGATCTTGTCTTTCTTACATTACTCGGAAGCTGAAGCTAATCTAGGGAATAAAGAAAAACAAATGAGTTTTTCTTTTTTATCAGGAATTCACCAACTTATAGTTTAACAAGGAAATATCTATCTCTTAAATGAAAACTCAATAACTATACACATATGTATATGTTTTAAGCAAACAGTCGAACGACTTAAGCCAAGGAAGTACCCACTGTTCACCCCTGTTTAGAATGTTTAACAATGTCTAATTTCTCTTCCATGGTGATGTCTTTCCTTTTCTTCGAAGCATCACCATCAGAAGAGATTGCAGTATATTTGGAAGCCATAATTAAGAACAATAAGTTTTTCACAAACACCACACAAACAAAAGAGAGTGAATGCACAACAATTCAATATGTCGTACTACCAGGAATTTGTCAGAGTTAGCTTCTCCTTAATTCCCTAATTGTTCAGTCAGGAATGCTCTCCCTACACTATAAATACTGGGCGACATCTTGCCTTGTTCTCTTTTCTACTTTGCATTTCAGCAGATACATTTAAAAATGTGATCTCTTGTAGAAATCAGCGTTTTCGCACACTTATGGGAAAATACCATGAAACACACATACATGTACGTATGAACATTCACCAAAATACAAAACTCTTTACGTTCACATGCAAACACAAATGTTAATGTCTTTGTCACTTGTAAATTTGTTGTTTAATACATATATTTGTTGATATATATATATATATATATATATATATATATATATATATATATATATATATATATCGGTCTTGTTTGTTTGTACCTCTTCGTTTGGACTCAACTTGAGTCCACCATATTCTTGTAGTCAGACCTTCTATCAGGAATAAATAGTATGTGTTTCTAATTCAACAACAAACCCACTCAGTCCTCTACAAATTAACACATGCTGCATTCCTCACTCCAGTGCTGTATGAATACAACAATTGGTACAAGTTGAAACAAGATTAATGGAGAGTATGTCATCACCGCAAATCGCCATAGGTTGGGACTTTTGTGATATGTGGACTTATATGGTATTATTTACTATTCTTTCAGATACAGTCTTTGTTACCTATTCCTCAAGTGACATTTTTTGTTTCCTATTCTTTCAGGGAGATTATCTGCCATCAGTTCTTTCAGTAACATTATTTGCAATTTATTCTTTCAGAGATATTATTTGTTTTCATTTCTTTCATTGATCACATGCCTTCTAGGTTTTTTGAACAGGAGTAGAGGTTTATCCCTTGTTTCCTGTTTAGAATTGTACTTCCTCTACCTTCAGTTTTATTCTCTTTCTCTCCCAGTAGCCTCTTGTATCTTAGTGGCATTATTGCCTTGCTTGGGGTGAATTGATTAAAAAAAATATTATTTCTATTCTTCCAGAGGTATTGGGCTTATGGGCATAGCATAATAAAACACTGGTTCTCATACAAGCATCCAAGTTAAGCAATGTCGAGCCTGGTCACTACTTAGATGGGTGACTGCTTGGGAATATCAAGTGCTGTAAAATTGGGTGTGCAGATGGTGTAATGGATAACAGCTTAGAAGTGGCAATCGGAGAGCTGAGTTCCATATTGATTTATGCACAAATACCCTTGATGGAAAGGAATAAATCCACCTCTTCTCCCCCACCATCTATGGGTTAAGTAGTATGTGTTGTGGTGTAGTGAATATAGACTCAGAGTGAGAACTCGGAGAGCTGAGTTCAAATTCCAGTTGAGTTTGTTAGATTCACTTATACACAAATACCCTTGGAAAAGGTAGGAATCCCTCTATTCTCCCCTAAGCTATGGGTTGAATAGCAGGACTTTAGCCTTGATTGGTAAGCACTCTACAGCAGAAAGATATGGCAACCTACCATGGGAAAAAATATACCTTATCAGTTATGTATCAAATGATACATGATAGCCCATGCATGTATCACATATGGCACTTAACTGACTGATCAGTAAATCATTATATATCCCCCAAAAATTTTATAATCTAAAAATTTCTGGTTTTAAATAATCTGTAAAAGGTTGATAAACTGTAAAATATGAATCAGTAAGTCAATCCAGAGATATTATTTGCTTTCACCAAGTAAATTCATATTCTCAGTTGTTAAACCCATTTTTGTTCTTCCTCTGTTTATTTTGATGATGCTGATCAGATTCTAAACAATAACCAATCACAATAAATCTCAATAACCAATCACAATAAATATATGTTCCCTCAGGGAGACCCCTTGCCTTGACCAACTACTAAACCATAAACTCAAGCCAGACCTCAAGTAAAACTCATACATAAGATCTATTGCTTAAGATGCTGGGAATATGGTCTGGCGACCCTGTACTACTCTAGTAATTACCTGACCCCTCGTGCTATCTTCTACTATTACAAGCGTGAAATAAAGCCTAAAATGGAGTACTGCAGCCATATTTGGGCAGGAGCTGCCCAGTACTCAATTTCCCATTTCAATAGTCTAAAAGAGTCTCCATATCCGTGTAGGTGACAAATTATTTTCAACCCTACATCCCCTTCACTTACGGATGAAATATCAGAAGCATCTCACTGCTCTATCACTATTTCCTTGAAAAGTGCTCAGACGAACTACATTCTTTAGTTCTACCAATTCTAACCTTCACAGCTATGACCCACCATGTTACGCACATTGTAGTGAACCCCTTCGTATTCCATTGATAAGTTCCACTTAAGTAACTTCTTCCTGAAAACTGCTACTCTGTGGAACTGAGGATGTTTTCCCGATCACTATAATCTTAACCTGTTCCAGTCAAGGTTTAACCATTATCTGTGCAACTTACTTTGTAGCCTTCTACCTCAAGAGCCTTGTACAGGGTGAACCTCACTGCAGAAAAAAAATACCAAGCTAAAATTGTTCATCTTGCCTCCTTCTTTCTCTCCTTCGTACTTAATTCAATAGCAGCTGACAGCTTAATTTCAGTTAACACTGACTGATGACCCTTCCATCAACAAAGCTCATCTTCAATTTTGCAGCTGTTTCTTTCTTTTCCTAGTTTTTAAAAAAGTAGCTAGTACTCTCTTGCTTTCTCATGAAGTCAATAGCTACTATCAACCAGCCTCTGACCACAACACTTTGTATTTAACACTTCACGATTTGCTTACTTTTTTATGATGCATTTAATTAGTACCCCCTATTAAGACTAAACGGTAATACCTGTGAAGAAAGGATTACTTTTAGCTCAAAATTAGCTTTCAAATTCATAAAAGCAAAGCTATTCACATTGAAAACAGTTTGGGTTTAGTTATACCAATGTTTAAGCTTGCCATTTTGCAAACCAGGAACTCTTCTCCAGAGACAGAGAGTGTGAAAAAAAAAAAAAAAAAAAAAAAACGAACATCTCATTTTATGTAAATTAGATAAGGAGAAAAGAGAGACCTGAAAGAACTTTTTGACAATTCCAGTTTGTGTAACATGAAGCAATGTGGCGGAAACTTGGCCAAAGGCCAGAAGGCATTGTCTGCTTCTGTGGTAGAATGTCTGTTCAGTAGCTGGGCTTATCTCATAATGAAATCATCTTTTTGGCAGGACAGGGATGGGGTTCAGTGGATGGAGTGTTTTCTAGGGTTAAGGTGTATGAAAGTGAATGGGGTATTGGGAATGTTACTCTTTACCTAAATACAAGAGGTGAGACAGAGAGAGAGAGAGAGGGAGAGAGAGAGTAAAAAGAGAGGAAGGAGAGAAAAAGAGAAAAAAAGGAAAGATATTTTCGATGACCCACCTGTTTGGGTTTAATAAAATTCAAGAGATTGCTGGTTGTCTCTTGATAAAACAATCAGACACATTTTTTTTTGTTTCTTTTTAAATAATTTCAACCCAATCAATAAAAAGCCACTAGGATGCAAGGGGTTACTGAGTCTGAAAGAAACAGTGATAACGATAAATGAAGAGTTTTCAAGGAGAGAAAGCATAATGAATGACATTGCATTCATATTGTTGTAACCTAGGGAAGGTTACTGAACAGAATAATCACACGAGGGTTGGTAATGAACGATAATACTTAGGACAAGAACAACACATATAAGATTCACCAGTGGCGTGTAGAAGAAGTAGTCAACTGCTAGAAGTGAGTCAAGTGAATTCCACAATGAATCTCCAACTTCAGGATATATACCAAACACCTCACGTAGTCAGATGTGGCACAAGGCCAAATTTAATATGAAGTATCCAAGCCTGTAGACTTGGCCAAAAATTCCCCATAGACTGTAGAAATATATGTGATTGGGTAATTGTTTCCTGAGATGAGACTCTACCCTTCAACATAGCCTCACCTGGGGATCCTCTCTGCCCAGAGGCAGAGAGTTTGATCAGCACAGCTGGAGACGAATCTCCAACTGGAGACCAACATACAGTATTTACTACTGTATTTATGAGAATGGGGACATACCCATTATCGTCTGTAGGTATCCTACAACACATATATATGAAGATTAGAGTTGACAGGAAAGAAGAAAGACTGACGAGAGCTCCACAATTGAGAAATGCAAGAGAAGAAACTGTGGGCATAGGGATTATGATTATATCTAATAATTTCAACTGTAAAATTATGAGACCAAACTGCCAATCTAGTACTGCTTTTAATATCTGTCTATATCTCTGAGATGAGTTAATATGATTAATTGTATTATTTACATTATTTGGACTGTTATCCTCATCTTCATTGTCATATTCACAAAGTTTCTGCTTTTGTATGCTTCAGCCTTCTTCAGATGATTGGAATTTTAAACTGAACCCTTTATTTCATCCACCAAGGTAGATTGTACTCGTTCCACATGACATGCCCCTTTCGGATGTCAAAGTTATTTCCCTTTAAATCAACTCTCCAAGTTTTTGGTTCACTACTGCTGTCGCCTGGTATTGAACTCAGAACTCTTTGGGTCTAGTCACTGGATCTAACCAATGTCTATATCAGCAGTGGTGAACCAAAAACTTGGAGAAGCTGAGTTAAAGGGAAATAACTGAGACAACTGGAAGAGCCATGGCACGTGGAACTAGAAAAATCTACCCCAGTGGACAAAATAAATGGTTCGGTTTGAAATTCCAATCATCTGAAGGCTGGAACGTACATTGGCCAAAACATTGTGAATATAGCAATGAAGAATGTAATGGATTTAACTGGAATTCAAACTCGGCTCTCTGATTCCTCACTCCAAGCCGCTATCCATTACTCCACTGTGCCATCCATCCTATGCCCCACCAAAATATTACTAATCCCCACCAGTGGTGCATATGCCCCACGATGGGAATCATTGGTATAAATGCTCAGATAGGAACTGATGACTTTGGGAAAGGTTTAAATTATATTTGAACGCGTTCTATTGAAAATAATATCTGCTGATAATAAAGCAGTTTTTATTTAAATGATTCTTTTTTTTTTTTACAGCAACCTTCACCTTGTACAAGGCCTGGGGGCCACTCAAGTTAGAGGGTTAGATTAAGGGGTAGTTTATATGGATAGGAGGGGAAGATAACGGTTAACTCTAGACTTCAATAGGTTAAGATTGTAGTAATCAGGGAAAAATTATCTTGGAAGTTTGTTCTGAAGAGATGTGGTTCATGGGAAGAAGCTATTCAAGAGGAACTTACTTCTTGCCGATGGAATATGGACGAAATGTGGGTTGTTTGGTGCAATATAAATGGCATGGTGGCTCCTAGCCATAAAGGTTAGATCTGGTGAAACCAAGGATAAAGCTATATAAATCGGAATTAAATGATTTATTTTATAGTATTGCTACTAACAATCAGAATGATGCAAATGTAATTTAGGGGACAATGAGGAAAGGAGGCTTAGAGAAATGAGCACTCACTGGTCACATTGAAAGTGAGAGTAGCAAAAGATGCAGGTAACCTGGTTTTCAAGTTTGAACAAATGAATTTGTCAGTTGTGAAAAGACTCCCAAGGGAATGCTTCCCTGATCAATACAATTTTAACCTCTTCAACTCTTAGGGAAACCATTATTTATCATTCATATCCTCATAATCTGCATTTCTTACCACCTCTTCTCATGTTTATACAACAATCTCAAATATCACTGGGGTCATAAATGAGCAAGTATTATTGAAGAGAAATAAAGAAAGGAAGTTGTGGAGAGCCACGAATGGCTTCAACAGAGGATAATTAATATAAGAAATTTTAAAAACATTCAACTAAATCTCTCTTTGTTTAAATTCATAGATGTCACATGTTCTCTCTTTCTCTTTCACTCTCCCTCTATGTTTTGTTCTCTCTCTTTCTCTCTACCACTCCCTTTTGTTCTTTCTATTTCCTCTCTGTACGTATCTCACTGTATCTTTCTCTCTCTCTGTACTTCACAGTATGCCTCTCTGTATTCTATTCATTCTATTTCTCTTTCTCTCTCTGTGCTTCTCGCTCTACTCTCTGAAACTCACCCCTCTCCCTATTTCTCTCTTTCTGTACTTCTCACTCTCTCTAATACACTCTCTACTCTCTGCAAGTCCCCACTCTCTCTACTTCTCTCTTTCTGTACTTCTCTATCTCTCCCTAACTATCTCTCTATTCTCTGCAGCTTCCCTCTCTCTCTACTTTACTTCTTTCTCTCTCTCTGTACTTCTCTCTCTCCCTAATTCTCTCTCTACTCTCTGAAATTTCCCACTCTCTGTTTCTCTACTTCTCTCTCTCTCTCTCTCTCTCTCTCCATAGGAAAAAACAAAACTTCTTTTAAGATTTCTTTTCTATTAATGAAATCTTTCTCCAATGAATTTACTTTTTAAGATATTTACTATGATTCTGCATTTGACCTTTCAGGATGTAAATGTGCAGGGCCCTCCACAACTTCTATATCTCTTTCACTCTTCCCCCCCTCTCTCTATCTCTCTTTGGCTGTACATATGTTTCTCTCTGTACTTCTATCTTCTTCTCTCTGCAACTACCCTTTTTCTCTCTACAACTCTCTATTTCTCTCTCTCCTCTCTCTCTCTGTTTCTCACCTCTCTCTATACAACCCTCTCTACATCATTCAGTAACTCCTGTCTTTCTCTCTCTCTCTTCCCTCTCTCTTTCTATTTTTCTCTACAACGCTTTATTTTTTCTACTCTACTCATTAATACCCTTTTCTCTCCCTATCCTTCTCTTTTATTCAACTCTCTCTCTCTACATACTCAGAAACTTCACTATATCTATCCTTCTCTCTATTTCTCTTTGTAACACTTCACTATCTGTCATTCTCTCTATATTACACTCTGCAACTACCCTCTCTCTTGATAATGATCTTACAATAGAAATTTCTTTCAAATCAGGAAGAAAGGGATTGTCAGTGGTCAGGAATTAATGCAAGACTTATTGCTAGAATAGAGTTATATATATAATATAAATGCATTGCAAATGATTTTACTATAGGAATTCATTGAAAATCAGGAAGAAAACGATTGTCACTGGTTAAGAATTGGTAAAAGAATTGTCAATATTGCTGGCTTATTGTATGTGAAATGTAAATGCATTACCAATGATCTTACTCTAGAAATACATAGAAAATCACAAGAAAAGGGATTGTTGGTGGTCAGGTATTAAAATATTCTTTGAAAACAATAAGACTGTTATTCATTAAATTGTTATTTATATTACAGTGATTACTCAGTTAAGTGACATTTCATCCAAGATTTGGTCAAGTCCATCTGCCATCTATAATTTATAGCTTAGCTTATATTTTAGTTAGCATATGAAATGCTTTTGCATTCTTTCATCTCCTATTTGGCACTTCATAGAGACCCTGAATTCCATAATGGTGGATCTGTGTTGATAGAAAATTAAACAAACAATGACTTATTGTTCATTAAGAGATGATGGGAGGAGATGGTTTGAAAAACAAAAGATCATGGAGAAATAAACAGAATAAGAAAAGGATTGGAAGGTAGCCTTTGGAAGATAAGTGAAAAGAAACAACCAGAATTTGGGAAAGACAGACTAGTAGAAAAAAAAGGAAGAAAATACTTTTTCATAATAAAATCATTTGCAATGAATTTTCATATTAAAATCATTTGTAATCCATTTTGATATTAAAATCATTTGCAATGCATTTTCATAATAAAATCATTTGCAATGCATTTTCATAATAAAATCATTTGCAATGCATTTTCATAGTAAAATCTTTGGTAATGCATTTTCATAGTAAAATTATTGCCAATGCTTTTTCAAAATAAAATCATTTGCAAAATGAAAATTTTATGAAAATATCATAATAAAATCATTTACAATGCATTTTTATAATAAAATCATTTCTAATACATTTTCATAGTAAAATTATTGGCAATGCATTTTCATAGGAAAATCATTTGCGATGCATTTTCATAATAAAATAATTTGCAATCCATTTTTATAGTAAAATCATTTGCAATGCATTTTCATAGTAAAATAATTTGCAACGCATTTTCATAGTAAAATCATTTGCAGTGCATTTTTATAGTAAAATCATAATATGAAAATGCATTGCATTTGCATTTTGATTAGGTTTGTTGATTTTACATTATTTTATGTTGAATTTTTGTATGTGACACTCACTGTGGATGAAACTCTTTATTCTTTAAGGGAGGGAATGAAATAAGAATTGGGGAAAAAGATGGGTAGAAAAAAAAGGATGACTGAAAAAGAGAAAAGGAAACAGAAATAGAGAAGGTAAATAAAGAAGAAGAGAAAGAAAAGACTTGATGTCAAGGAGAAGATCTAGAGGAAATAGGAACGGGAAAAGTGAGAGGGAGAGAAGAACAAAAAAGAGAATAGGCAGAAAGTATATAAAGAATAAGAAAGAGAGATAGGGAGAGAGAACAATAGTAAAAGAGAGAGAGAGACATAGAAATGAAGAATGAAATTGTAAAAATGAAAGATGCTTCCGGAAATGATTTCTTTGAATATTAATTAAGGTTGATTTTTTTCTTTTTTGTTTTTGATATTTGTTTCTTTCCGATGCCTATCACTCTCAATTCTATCATGTCATGCTTCTTTGCCTTCTGTCATCCCAACAGACTACGTGCGACTGATTGCAAAACAACAGTGCTGAATAATTGATCATCTTAGTGATTATTAAAGTGGTTTTATGGCATTTGGATTCCAAATGAGATTTTCACAATTCCAAGCCTCAAAGTTCTTGCTTAATATCAAGTGATATTTTTCCCACTTCTAAAGAAAGCATATTTGCAGATGCAGCTGTAAAAGTCAACATTTTCAGTGCTGGTTTTCAAATTTACACATCAGGTGGAAGAAACAATAAAAGAAAAGCTGTTACACCAATTGCAAACCTTGACTGAATCTAATCAATTACTCAGCTTGCTTTAGGAGCCAAAAAGGAAAAACTGGTGATAGGCAGACTGTGCGGTGTAAATATTTAAAGTGTACATGGCTTTCAAAATCACTATTAACATGTAGATTATTGTCCTCATCTTTGTTGTTACTATTACAACGTTTCTGCTATTGTGCCATATAGCCTTCATCAGGTGTATATCGATCTGGGTGTTGTGTCGCAGCCTAGACCAGACACCAGTTTCATTGACAGGGTTCAGTTTATTGTAGTTAAACACTTGTGGCTTAATTACCCTTTGGCTAGATCGTTACCCACAAGTGAAGAAGAAAACAATTTCTAGCAGTAAAACAGATTTTATTCTTGGGTTGTAACTTACTGCTATAAGCGAGTGAAGTAGACGTGAGGCATAAGTGAAGGGAGGTGCACAATTCAGTGGCCATTGTTCCTATCCATCCTGTGAGGCACACTTTGTTCTTTCTGTTGGCCTTTGCACAGGATGGTTAGTTTTATAGACAAGTTTTCTTTTTCCTGTTATCTTCGTCTAAAAATGTAATTTATCTTCCTCCCGTCCTTTTCTCTCAGTCTGAGCCTCTTGCTCCTGTACATTGAAGTTGACTCCAATTACTGATAACCATCATTTGAAAGTAAATGTTATGTATCGAGTTCTTTTAAATTTAACATGACCTCAGCTTGACTTGTATCGCTACATGGGTAACCTACAGTGAATTTTGAACTGAACCCTTTATTTAATCTACTGGGGTAGACTGATTTTGTTTCACTCAGTCTATCTTTGATATAAAGGATATAGTTTGGAATACCTTTCATAAATTGTTCAATTCAGAATTCCTTACCTGGATTGACATACACTTGATGAATGCTGGAAAGCATAATGGTCGAAATATTGTGATAACAAGAACAAAGATAGGGACAATAGTCTACATGTAAATAGTGATTTTTTAACTCTATGCTAATTTTGTTTGCCTATAACTGATTTTTCCTTTTGGGGTCCTAAATCAAGCTTGATGATAGATTGGTCTTTGTCAAGGTTTGCAACGAGTGTAACAGCTTTTTTCTTTTAACAGTTTCTTCTACCTTATGTGTAAGTTAGTAATACTGGAAATGTTTGCCCAGTTGCTCGAGAACCCACTTCCTTTGCATTCAGCGATCAGGGTATGCTAGCTATGAAACCCTTTTAATTAATATAACTGGACATTTACAGAACAGGTGTACAGGGAATTCATGACATAAAATTCATTCTTTTATTATATCCATTTTCTCTTTCTCTGCATTCTTTTCTTTCTTTCCTACTCTCCCAACTCATCTTTTTATGAACAATAAAATCATCATCCGTTTAATGTTTTATCAATGCAGGTCCACCATTATGGAATTTAGGGTCTCTATGAAGTGCCAAACAGGAGACGAAAGAACGTAACAGCATTTAATATGCGAAAAAGATATGAGCGAAACTATAAATTATAAATAGCGTAGAGGCTTGACCAAACCTTGTGGGAATGTTTTTTTCCAGAGATCAAATATTCAATATTGCTTAACCAAGTTATCATGCTAGACATTTTATTGCAAATATCAATGAAATATATATCATATTTTGTCATCAGTGATTACTTTGATGCCTGACCACTGACAATACCTTTTTTTCCTAATTTTCAATGCATTTTCAGAGTAAAATCATTAGCAATGTATCTATATTATGCATATAATAGGCCTATTCTAGCAGCTATGCTTGCATCCATTCTTGACTACAGACAAACTCCTTTTCTTCCTGATTTTAAATGCATTTCTCTCATAAAAACATGAACAATAAACCACTCCAGATGTGTGTGTGTATATATATATATATATATATATATATATATATATATATATATATTTAAAATGTGTGTATTTAGGCAGCAATCCTTCTTTCATGCACATTTCATTGAATACGACAAACAAGGTGCTTTTATTTAGTTTTTTATACAATTTCTCATGCAATCTGATAATTTTTTTTCAGATGATAAATTATATAAAAACTGTCTGAATGTTCTTTTTATCTGAGCGCTTTCGGCTGTACATTTAGCCATTTTCAAGGATTAAATATTTTAACTGTTAAATAAGAAATAGTTTGTTGCATGTATGTTTTATAAATTTTTCATTTTTCAAAACACAGTCAAGATGTATCCATGTTCAAAGTCAATATAATTAAGTGTTGGTTTTTTTGTTTTTATTAATAAGGCTTCCATTATTTATAGCTTTTTTTTTCATGTAGATGATGCTATTATATTAGTGTTGTCAACAAGTATGTGTCCGGTAGGTCTCCATGAATATTTAAATGAGATCTAATTGAGCTATGGTCAGAAAGCTGTAGAGAGAGTCTTCCTGTCAAACATGTTGTAGTGTGGCCTATATAATTATTTCTGAATTTTGATTGATCAGGAATACAATTCCTTAATGGGCATTTAAATTCATAAATAATATTTGCCCGATTTAATTTTGTTCTAGGAGGTGAATATATATATCATCAGTCAATTATGTGCCATGCGTGATACACACTTAGGCAATCATGTATCTTTCGATACATAACTGACAAGACAGATTCCTGCAGCAGGTTGCCATTTCTTTCTGTGGTAGACTAGTTGCCATCCAAGGCTATAGAACCTGGTCTGTCCTGCTATTTACTCATAACTGGGGGGAGAAAAAGAGAATTCATTCTTTTACTGAGGGTATTAGCACATAAGTGAATGTAATAGATTCGAATGGAATTTGAACTCGGCTCTGCGATTCCTCAATCCTAGCCGCTATCCATTACTCCACCGGAGATGGATTAAATCTGACAAATATTTAATATATATTTGATTCATATGTTATTTTTTATGGATATACTTATTTGACTTAACAATCTGTTCTTTAATCAGACAGTATTAATTACATTTACCAACCAGAATGTTTGAGAAATTTTATAGAGAATATATGTTCTCCAACAGGAATTAAACTTGCATCCTATACAGACCTACTATTAAGCCTGACATGCTATGACCATTCAGCCACAGAGAACTTCTGGTTAAGAAAAGCTTAAATTACAGCTTTTAAACACCCATCTTTGCTGATCTTTCTTGATCTATCATATCTGCTCTGTATTCATAACCTAATGTAAACAATGACAACATATCATAGGAAATTGATTAAATCCATCAAATATTTAATATATTTTCTGTTTATACATTATTTTTTATGGATACACTTAGTTGAGGAAATGCTCTGTTTTAATTAAACAGTATATATTTCATTTACCAGGTTGAATATTTGAGAAATTTTGCAGAAAATATGGGTTCTCTGGCAGGAATCAAACTTGCATCATATGAGGAATCACCATTATGCCTAGCATGCTATAACCATTCAGCCACACAGAACTTCTGGTTAAAAGCAGTAATTCAAGCTTTGCTTAACCAGAAGTTCTCCTGCAGCTGAATCATCATAATATAAACATCAAATGTTTCCTTATATGTTTACCATTACTCTTACTGTTTTCGTTCTCTTCCTGTTTTGTTGTGGACAATCAGGTGATCAGAAAAAGACAAAAAAAAAGACTATGTCATCACATTCATTAGCAGAGCTTATTTGGAAAGTTCTGAAAGAAACTTAAGATCCATTTTTACTTTTAAAAATCAAAACTGAATGATGAAGTGTCAAACTAGAAAAAAGAACCACAACTTGCAGAGGTTGTGGAAAAAAGTTTATCTTTTCCTTAAACTTGTAATTTTTCATGCAAATTAGTTCCTCTTTTTCTGGCCAGTGAACGAGTTTGTATTGAAAAATGAAATGTTTGGACAGTTTTGATTCCGAAATATGCCATTGTTTAAAAATCTGAACTTTCAAAGTGGGTCATTGACAGAAATGGAATGCTTCACTAAAATTGAACAGATTCGTTACAAATTATAGATTTTAAAAACCAGCAGACATTAGTTGGACTTGTTTGTTGGTAATTGAAGACTAGAAATATAAGGGGTAGATGGCTTAGTAGTGTTTTGCTGAATTTGATAGGAATGGCGATCAAAGACAAAATTCAGGAGATGAAAAGAATTTATGTTTAATCTGAATTTCTGGCTATAATGATGAAAATTACATTTAGAAAGTGAGACTTTACAATAGTGATTCAAATTGACCTCTCCTTGTCTGGTCAATCTGATAACTAGAGAGCTAGATAGAGACTGAAAATACTGAGTTACCTAATTAGATAGATAGATAGATAGATAGATAGATAGATAGATAGATAGATAGATAGATAGATAGAAAAAGTACTGAGATACCAAATTAGATAGATACATAGTGAAAATATTGAGCCTCCTAATTAGATAGATAGATAGTGAAAATACTAAGCTTCCTAATTATATATATATATATATATATATATATATATATATATATATAGATAGATAGATAGATATGAACTGACAGATAGATAGATAGATAGATAGATAGATAGATAGATAGATAGATAGATAGACAAAATAATGAGCTAACTGATAGATAGATAGATAGATAGAAAAAGTACTGAGATACCTAATTGGATAGATACATAGTGAAAATATTGAGCCTCCTAATTAGATAGATAGAGAGTGAAAATACTAGCTTCCTAATTATATATATATATATATATATATATATATATATATATATATATATATAGATATGGAAGACTGGGTTACCTAATAAGATAGATAGATAGATAGATAGATAGATAGATAGATAGATAGTGGAAGACTGGGTTACCTAATAAGATAGATAGATAGATAGATAGATAGATAGATAGATAGATAGTGGAAGACTGGGTTACCTAATAAGATAGATAGATAGATAGATAGATAGATAGATAGTGAAAAGATTGCTAGATATTCTTTTTTTTCAACTAATGTTCACTCAAAACAATGCAGGGGAACCCCTTAAAGCTGAAGGTCATTGTTAAAATGGATGAATTGGGGGGAGTGGTAGGAAATGAGGATTATGAGGAGAAAGGAGTGCAGAATGTTGCCTTGAAAAGTAGAATTTGAAACTGGCCCCAAATGAAACTTTGAGCTCTAGCTATTGTTTACAAGGTCAATTTGCTAGGAATTGCCCAGGAAGAAATATTTTGACATTGCAATAGTGTTTTCATATTAATATATGTTTACTCCAAAGTTTTCTGAGATTATAATGATTTTACTGATACATACTATTTAATCCATAGATGGGAGGTGAAGCAGTGAATTCATACATTTTCCAAGGTTATTTGCATGTAAGTGAATATACTGAACCTGATAGGAATTGGAACTCTTTGATTAACAATTTCCGAGTTGTTACCTATTACATGAACTATACATCCAAGCTTACAGCACCTGGCATTTCCATGTGGTCACCCATCTAGGCACTGACTAGGCTCAACATTGCTTAACTTTGATGACCACATGAGAACGGTTTTTTAACATGATATGGCTGTAAGCCCAATATCTCTGGAAGAATAGAAATATGTTTTTTTTAATCAATTACACTCAAGCAAGGCAATAAAGCCACTAAGATGCAAATGGCTACTGGGAGTGAATGAGAATGAGAAAACTTTGAAACTGAAAACAAGTGATAGAACTCTATGCCTTTTTAAAAGACTGAGGAGGAGTATGAACTGGGTGATCAATGAAAGAATGGAAGCAAATAATGTCTCTGAGAACTCCTGGTTAAGAGAAGTCATTGTCGTCTTTGGCGGAACTGTTTGTCAAGTATTGGGGTTTGTTTCAATATTTCTTTCTCTGCAATATGTTGGGTCTGAAGAGACGTTCACAGCCACTTCATGGTAGGTTAGGAGGGTTCAGGCTCTAGCTTTTTTTTTTAGCTCCTTTCATCTCTTCTTTGTCTCCTGGTGTTTTCGAAGGATCTTGGTTTTTCATGGACTGCTCTTCTCCAGTTGGTTCTTTAGAGGTTAGAAGAAGAAAAGTCTTTGAGCACAAAAGCCTTGGCTGCAAATTGTCAGAGGTGGCCCCTTGGTCCTCACTCCCTGGCACACAAACTTCAGCTGACACCATCTGCTAAAAAAAAAAATGAAACGTATTTATCTTTCTTCTTCTATGCGTCATGTTCCTTCATGGCTCTCCCCAACTTCCTCTCCTCTTTTTGCGGTCTTTCTTGATCTCTGTTTTGCCAACCAGTTACACAAATTTGTTTTCCTTTTATATGCCATGTCCATTCATTACGTTAGTGATCGTGGCTCTTCACAGCTTTCTTTTAATTTATAGCTCTTTATGTGCTGTGTCCCTTCAGAACTTCATGGTCCTTCACAGCATCCTGCCCTTTTTAGCTCTTAGTAAGGTTTGTCTTTTTGCAATCTCTCCTAATCTCTGTTCTATCAACCATTTATACATACTTGTTCTTCTTCCTTTATGTGCTATGTCATCTTAGGACTTCAGCAATCATGGCCCTTCACAGCTTCCTCTCCTTTGTAGCTCTTAGTAAGATTTGCTTTTTTGCAAACTCTCCTAATGCCTGTTTTATCAACCACTTACACATACTTGTTGTTCTTTTATGTGCCATGTCATTTTAGAACTTCAGCAATCATGGCCCTTCACAGCATCCTGTCCTTTGTAGCTCTTAGCAAAGTTTCTATTTACAATCTCTCCTAATCCCTGTTCTATCAACCATTTACACATACTCATTCTTCTTCCTTTATGTGCTGTCCTTTCAGGACTTCAGTGATCATGGCCCTTCACAGCTTCTAGGTCTCAGTAAAGTTTGTTATTGCTATATCTCCTAATCCCTGTTCTGCAAGCATTTTATATGAGCTCATTATGTAGGTTATAGATTGCTTTCCTCTGTCCCTCTTGCCTTCAACATGTCCTGTGAGTATCAAATTTTCCAAGCCCTCTTTCCTCATTATGTTCCGTGGAAATTTCAAGATAGGATGCGAATTGAAAGATGTTGATGATACATAAAATGATAGAGAGAGAAAGAGATAAGTTTTATAAAAAGAGATAGATATGAAACTTTATATACGGAGAGAGAAAGGAAAGACATAGTAATTCAGAGATATAGAGAAAACTATAGAGGATGCCTGACTGGAAGAGATAGAAGTAACATAGAAAGAAAGAGAGAAATTTCAGAGAGAGAGAGAGAGAGAGAGAGAGAGAGAAAGAGAGAGAGAGAGAGAGAGAGGCATGCAAAGAGAGAGTAAGCCTTGCATAGATTGAAAGTTGAACTGATGGCTGTCCAGGCAGTCAGGCAGGCATGCTGGCACTGCCAGTAGGTCATCATCATCAAGTAAATCAATAGAATAAAATCAATTGTGATTGCATATGAACTTAACAAGGCAGATTTATACAAAAGCTGCCAGTTTGAAATTGTACGGGGAAAATGAAATCTGCTCTTTCCTACATAATATAAAAGGTCATGCAGTCGAAAGCACAAAGTGGTATATTATGAAAGAGGGGAGTAAAAACAGAAAAAGAAAGAGAAGGAAAAAAGAGAGTTATAAGAGAGGAAAGAGAATAGAAAAAGAAAGAAAGAGATGAGAGAACAAAAAAGAGAAGGAAAAAAGAAAAAAGAAAACAGAAAAAAAAGAAAAATAGAGAGATGTAATTGATAAGAGAAAGGGGGAGAAAAGAGAAAAAGAATAAAAAAAGAGGGTGGAGAAAAACAAAAAGGAAGAGAGAAAGTAATATAAGAGGGGAATAAGAAAAGAAAGAGGGAAAGAAAAGAGAAATGAGAGAGGGGAAAAGAAAGAATAAAAAAAAAGAGAAATAGTGGAGGAAAAAAGAGAGAAAAAAGGAAGAAGGAAAAGAAAGAGAGCAATATAAGAGAGGGGAGAACAGAAAAAGAAAGAGGGTAGAAATAGAGAGATATAAATGAGAGGGAATAGGAAAAGAAAGAGGGAAAGAAAAAGAGAAATTAGAGAGGGGAGAAAAAAAAGAGAGAAATAGTGGAGGAAAAACAAAAAAAGAGAAGGAAAGAGAGCAATATAAGAGGAAAAACAAAAAAGGAAGAAAGGAAAAGAAAAAGAAAATGAGAGAAGATAAAGAGAGGGGAGAACAGAAAAAGAAAGAAGGGTAGAAATATAAGAGAGATATAAATGAGAGAATAGGAAAAAAAAAGAGGGAAAGAAAAAGAGAAATGAGAGAGGGGAGAATAAAAGAGAGAGAGAGATAGTGGAGGAAAAACAAAAAAGGAAGAAGGAAAGAAAGAGCAATATAAGAGAGGGGAGAACAGAAAAAAGAAAGAGGGTAGAAATAGAGAGATATAAATGAGAGGGAATAGGAAAAGAAAGAGGGAAAGAAAAAGAGAAATGAGAGAGGGGAGAATAAAAGAGAGAGAGAGATAGTGGAGGAAAAACAAAAAAGAAAGAAGGAAAGAAAGAGCAATATAAGAGAGGGGAGAACAGAAAAAAGAAAGAGGGTAGAAATAGAGAGATGTAATTGAGGGGGAATAAGAAAAGAAAGAGGGAAAGAAAAAGAGAAATGAGAGAGGGGGAGAATAAAAAAGAGAGGGAGATAGTGGAGGAAAAACAAAAAAGGAAGAAGGAAAGAAAGAGCAATATAAGAGAGGGGAGAACAGAAAAAAGAAAGAGGGTAGAAATAGAGAGATATAAATGAGAGGGAATAGGAAAAGAAAGAGGGAAAGAGAGAGATGAGAAAGGGTGAGAGGAAGAAAGAAAAAGAAATTGGGAAAGAAAGCGAGATATATAAGGGTGAAGGAATAGGAAAAGAAAAAGTGAAAGAGAGGGATGAGAGAGGAGAAGCAGAATAAGGGAAGAAAGGGAGATATATAAGAGGGGAAGAATAAAAAGAAAGAGGCAAAGAAAGTGAGAAACAAGTGAGAGAGGGGAAGAATAGAAAAAGAGGGATACCTAGAGATGTATATAAGAAAGTAGGGAGAATAGTAAGAGAAAGAGAAGAGAGGAAAACATGAAAACGAAAGAAGAAAAGAAAGATAGAATAGAAAAAGAAATAGGGAAAGAAAGAGAGAGAGGAGAGGAAGAACGGAAAAAAGAGATTAAGGAAAGAGAAATATATAAGAGAAGAAGAGAACAGAAAAAGAAAGACAGAAAAAAGACAGGATAGAAAAAGTAAGAGGGAAAGGGAGAGCAAGAGATGAGACAGGGAGGAAATATATAAAGAGAAAGAAGAAAGAGAGAAGAAGAAAAATAGAGTAGAAAAAAGAAGAAGGAAAGAGAGTGAGAGATGAGACAGGGAGGAAGAATAGAAAAAAAAGAAGGAAAAGAAGAGAGTAATTAGGGAGGGATAAAGAACAGAAAAAGAAAGAGAGAAAGAAAGAGAGAGAGAGAGAGAGAGAGAGAGAGAGAGAGAAATGAAATAAGAAGAAGAAAAGAAAAAGAAAGATATAACCAGAGGTAAAGATAGATGGAGAGATGGAAATGTGGAAAAGGTTGTATAAAAAGAGTGAGAGAGACAGAAAGTGGAGAGAAAAGAAAGAGAAAGTTAGAGAGAGTGAAAAAGAGATAAAGAGAGAGATAGAAAGAGATGGTGGGTGGTGAAAGATAAAAAGCGAATAATAAATAAATAATTGAATAAATAAAAAATACATCCCCCAGAAATCAAGAAAGATGCAAAAAAGAGAAAGAGTGGGAAATAGGGAGAGAAAGTGGTCATGGTAATATTCGCTTTTTCCTTATAAGGAAACATTTAGCATTTATTGATCAAGCAGTTTGTATTAGTGTCAGTTGAAATTTATAAAATCTTTCTCTGAAAAAAATTTTTTCAGGGAAACAGGTTTTTCAAGTCCACAGACTGTTAACACCCTTTCCAGTACTGATTGCAGTTTTCTTCCTACTCTTTTGTTTGAAGTCATGTGGAATATCAACATCTTGATTATATTATTTTCTTTTGTGCTATCCATTTTTGTTGTTGCTGTTGTTGAATGTCCTCAACTAATGTAGACTATATTATTTGGTACAGTTCTTTTTATTTTATTATGTAGCGCCAATCTGCAATGTTCAAAGAAGGATAAAATTGTAACATCTCTTCTCCTCATTTCTAACAGTAACGGTAATATTCACCTTTTCCTTGTAAGGAAATATTTGGGATTTATTAATTGAGGAGTTTGTATTACTGTCAGTTGAAATTTATAAAATATTTCTCTGAAAACAATTTTTCAGGGAAACAGTTTTTTCAAGTCCACAGACTGTTAACACACTTTTCAGTATTTTGGAGTTTCCTTCCTCCCCTTTTTTTTGAAGTCATGTGGAATGTCAACATCTTGATTATATCATTATTTTCTCTTCGAGATACATGTGCTATCCATTTTAGTTGCTGCAAATGTTGAAAGTCCACAAGTAATGTGGACTGTGTTATTTGGCACAGTTCTTTGTGATTATGTAGCGCCAATATGCAATGTTCAAAGATGGATGAAATTGTAACATCTCTTCTCCTCATCTCTAATGGTAATGGTAATATTAGCCGTTTCCTTACAAATGTAGGTTGGCATGAGAAACTAACTCTGCTTGGTTTGATAAAAAAAGAACTCAATACAGAGGCCTACATCAAGAAGGTAGTGCTGCCCTGGGTCAAGAGGATGGTTTCTGGAAGACCCTATGTCTGACAACAGGATTCAGCATCATGCCACACAAGCAGGTGAACCTAGAAATGGGTGTTAGACAATTTCTGCAACTGCAACCTCCCTTTACATCTGGTTACCTAACTTCCCAGATTGTAACCCCTTTGATTATTACATATGGGGGGCAGTTGTACAAGAAACCAACAAAACTTCTTGTGGCACCAAAGATGAACTGAAGGCAAGGATAATGACAGCATTCACCAAATTAAACAGGAGATCATCCAGAAGAGTTGCAGGAGATTCCAAAGTCATCTGGAGGCTGAGATTGAAGCCAATGGCGAATTATTTTAACAAATTTACTCTTTAGTACTTCAAAATATTTTTGAGAAATTTTGGTAAATATATTTGTTAATATGAGATGTCAGCGTTATTTTAATTTTTGCATCATTTAGATGACAATTTATCCATCACACCCTATATATATATATATATATATATATATATATATATATATATATATGCAGGAAAGCATTCTTCTTTTTTAAAGGATTCTTTTCAACCAACACATTGTCTGAAGAATATGTTGGTAAATATTACTTAACCACAAAAAACAATTCACACTTCGAGAAAAATATACCATGACTAAAATACCTATTTATTAATAAAACTTATTAATAAAGCGGACAGGAGAATAAAAAAAAATATACAAGAAAAAATGCTAATTTAAATGGTTGCAAGTGAAGATAAAATGGAAAAATTAACTCACATACCTCCTAAAAGACAGAGAGACTGAACAAAAAGCTATTTCTGTCTGTACAGTAACGGTTGATGTAACTTAATAAAAACTGCTTCTAATAGATGTAAATGCTGAGCAAACCAAGCTGTGCCCAAGACAGTCAACAAATCATCTCTATATCCTGCCACACACTCTGGATTGTCTAATAAATGTTGACCAATGGGCAAGGCATGAACATACTGGGTATAATGCATACTGTGATTAAAATTACCCTGTCTTATATTTGCAGGAATGTGTTGTCCAATCCGAATCTTGAGTCACTGATTGGTTTGTCCTACATAGTCAGCCTCACACTGACATTTGAATTTATAAACAACAGAACTAATTTAAAGGTAGGACAAACCATCTTTGACAAAAGAGAGAAAACAGGATTAGTCCTGAAGACAGCATGTAGCCTAACCTCTGAAAGACCCAGGTATATATATATATATATGTATGTATGTATGCTAATCTCTCATTATTTAGTTTATATTCAAACTTATATCTATCGAAAAAAATCAAAAACACCAGTTGACAATAGCGAAAAATTAAATTAATTATTTATTACAAAAAATTTAAAACCTCTAACCTTATAGTTAAAAATAATAATTCACCTCTGACAATAGCTCAATTAGGTCTCATTTAAATAATCATGGAGACCTACTGGACACCATTTGGAACATACTTGTTGACAACACTAATATAATAGCATCATTTACATGCAAAAAAGGCTATAAATAATGGAAGCCTTATTAATAAAAACAAAATAAAACAACACTCAATGATATCAGCTATGAACATGGATACAATATGTTGACTATGTTTCGAAAAATGAAAACATCATATAAATACATACATACAACAATCTATTTATTGTTAACAGTTAATATATTTCAAGCTTGAAAATGGCTAAATGTATAGCCAAAAGCGTTTGGATAAAAAGAACAATTGGACTGTTTTTATATAATTCATCATCCAAAAAGAAAAAAAAATTATTAGATCACATAAGAAATTGTATAAAAATACTAACTCAAAGCACCTTGTCTGTCATATTCAATGAAATGTGCATGAACAGAGGATTGCTGCCTAAATACACAAATCTATCAATCTATATAGGTATTACTATGGATAAATCAAATAACTAGATATTAGCAACCGTATATATGTGTGTTAGAGTGCATACACAGGTAAGTGTATAAATATTTACTCAATTTAATTTAAGGTCTAAAGAAAACAGTGCTCAGTATAGTTAGACAGAGCTAAGAAGTATATATTAATAAATATACATATACCTACGTTTGAAGTGCAACTTAAAGCTTAAGTTGCACTTTGAACGTAGGTATATGTATATTTATTAATATATACTATTCATCTATCTATCTATCTATCTATCTATCTATCTATCTATCTATATATGTGTGTGGGGGGGTAGTATCTAACTCTGAATTTCCTCTTCAAACATCTGGTGAAATAAAATGATATATTTTTAATCTATGTTTGTGTAAAATCCTATGAAAAGATATTCTTGTGAGGGAGGGGAGATTCTTCCAACAGTTATTTCCTTGAAAATATTCACAAAATAAAAAAAAAAGAGAAATTTCCTTCCCAAAAATGTCATATTGCATTATGGAATGTAAAAAGTAAAATTTACATGAAGCAAAAAAATGCCAAAAACATAAACAAAAAAAAAAATTAAAAATGATCTGAGGAGCAAAAACAAACTGAGTCATGTAAATAAATAGAAAGAAAATGAAAAGAAAACAAATGAAAATTTTACAAAAAAAAAAAAATATAAAAAATCAAATTGAAAAGTAAGCTTTAGTTATCATTTGTTTAAAAAAAAACAAAAAAAAAACAGGCATTGTAATTTTTGCTTTTGCTATAAACCTAATACCAGGTCGACTTCAATTTGATGACACAAGATTCTTTCGGTCGTTTGTTTCATTTCTGATTTCAGTTCAGAAGGGAAAAAAAATGCTATGAGCGAGGACAAAAAGGTCGTTGATTTTAAAATAGAAAGTAAACAAAATATCTCCCACACATTTAAAAAAAAAAATATGAGAGAAAAATATATTGGAAGTTTGCTAAAAAGAAAATTAGCTAGGCAAAAGCTAGCCACATGCTTAAAAGCATTTAGACCGATATAAAATACACAGGCACAAACACACATACACACACACGCACACACATACACACACACACATATATATATATATGCATATGTATAGGGAATACTCCCATTCATACACAGATACAAACACACATATATATATTTATGCATATGTATATACTATACACACTTGTATGTATATATATATATATATATATATATATATATATATATATATATATATATATATATATGTAAAATCAACCTACTAATTACATAGACATATTTTTAGACATATGTGTATAAATACACACATGAAAATACATATGTATATGCATATGTATCAGCAAAACAAACACACACACATAAATAAACACATGTTGAGAAAACAAACACACATACATATATATCAGGTCATCCCATAAGTTCTGTCCGAATTTTGAATAAAGAAAACAAGTGACCAAATGTTACATTTCATTACAGATTCAATCAACAATGTATTTTCCCTGATTATCTATGACTTCCTTCCATCTAATAACAAGCTTACTAATTCCATTACTGTAAAATTCTTTTGGCTTTGATTTGAAGAACTCACAAATGTCAGTTTTAACCTCTTCCTGTGTTACAAAAACTGTTTCTTCCAAATGATTCTGTAAGCTATGAAACAAATGGTAATCTGAAAGAGCAAGATCAGGAGAATAAGGTGGATGAGGAATTTTCTCCCAACCAACTTCTTCGATCTTTTGTGACGTGATTCTCGCTGTGTGGGGTCGCACATTGTCCTGATGAAACATCACCCCTTTTCGATTCACTAGAGCAGGCCTTTTTTTCCACAAAGCTTGGTTTAAACGCTTTAATTGCTGACAGTATATTTGAGCATTAATTGTTGCATTAGATGGTAAGAATTCAAAGTGGATTATTCCTTGGCGATCCCACCAGATTGAAAGTAGAACCTTTTGCCCATGAAGTTCCCTTCTTGGCTGTGGCTGGGGTCCTTCCCCTTTACCAAGCCACTGTCTACAATGCTTAACATTTCGATAAAAGATCCATTTTTCATCGCCAGTCACAAGTCTATCCAAAAAAGGTGAAATAAGTTGGCAAGAATGGAAAGAAGAGCAGATGTCAACTCGGGATTTGAGGTTGTTT